TCACTTTCTTCCCCTCCATCCCCAACACCAATTTCATCAATATCTTCAATTTCATTTTCATTTTCATCACTGTCATTCCCAATCCCAACATCAATCTCATCACTTTCATCCCCTTCATCCTGAATATCAATCTGAACACTCCTTTCATCAATGTTTGGTTCAATCAAAGATGGATGACCTAAACAGACTCGTTTGAAATACTTCTCCATCAGCCTGGGGATTGAATTGAGGAAACTCTTTTACTCAACAATACAACTTCACAAACAACTAAACAAGTAAGGAGCAATCAGAAGTTCAGAACACATAATTAAAAACCATGCCATAAACTCACCAGTCACCAGAGCTTCAGAATCATAAGTTACAGCAAAATTCTCGCCTCTGCAAACAGCAATCCAAGTCTGAAAAACACAAAATTTGAAGGTTATTGATGTAGCAGAGCTTCAGAAGCATAAGGAACGAAGAATATAATTTGGTGCCTAACCTTCGAAGTTCGAAGCCTCCTGTTAAATTTACCCTTTTATCTGGTGAGTCAATCAATCAATTCAAAGAAGGAAGTGGAGAGCAGAGGCGGAGGGTCTGATTTTCGCCTCTGCTATTCGAGATTGGGTTTGCTTCTTTCTCAGTTTGACGGAAGTGGAGACTCACTTGCAACGGCGGAGGGTGAGGAATTCAGACGGGGAAGAAGCTACCAAATGGGGCAGACGGGTGTGAAGTGGGGGTTTTGATTTTTTTGATTGGGCTGGGCTGGGTCTGGGGCTGAAAGGGATGGTTTGGGAGATTTAAAAAAAAAACTTGAGCCCAAAAATTTAAAATAAATAAATAAAAAAAATTTTGGTCAAAAAATTGGGGGGTCCTGGCCCCTCCCCAGGACCCCCCCCCCCTCCGCCCCTGTTTAAATAAAAGGGGTGTAAGTAAACCAACATGTAATTTAAATAATTTGAATTAGTAGATATAGAAAAATAATAATTTATATAAATTTAAATAAATGGGTGTACATGAACCAATATGAAATTTAATTAATTTGAATTAATGAATATAGAAAATGAATAATTTATATACATTTAGACAAATAACGTTATATCATAGATTAAACGAATAATATTGAAATTCAATAAGTGTGCATGAACTTGAATAATTTATCTACTCCTATAATAATTGGATAACTCTCAAATTATATGATCTTCAATAATTTATATATTTTTAGAATAATTTATGATAATATGAATAATTTTAAAAATAAATACGTATTCATGAACTTGAATAATTTATTTAATCCTAAAATAATTGAATAACTCCCAAAACATGTGTACATAAATTTGATGACTTAATGTTATATTTAGTATATCAATAAATAAATGTTAATTAGTATATGCATCACATGCATATATAATTGAATTGTAGTATTTATGGAGTTTACCATTCAACATGCTCCACAAGATGTAGCTTGTTTGAGAGCGTTAATCTTAGAATCCGACTACTCGTTTTTGCCTCAGACGGTTCGATTGCTCATTTGGGATGTTCATAGGTTCCGATTGAGCCTTCAGAAGGTAAATAGTTCAAAATGTTATATGTTGATTATTATTCTCATAATCAATAAGGAATTTTATCCTCAAAGAAACCACACGTTCTCGCTACTGCATGTTGGCTGGTCGACAGGCCATCGAATTTCAGTTTGAGCGACTTAATTACCGCAACTGTCTCCCTCTTTAGAGCAAATAAATTTGTTCTTCCCAGAATTTTTTTTAATCAATATTTAGTTTACTTAGCCATTTTATGTGAGATTGCAGCCTAGCTCCATAGGTATGAAAAAACTTTACATAATGGGAGAAAATTGATCCAGAACTTGAGCATTTGCAAGAGAAAATCTATCTTGAGGACACAATATGAAGTTCTCGTTTGAAACTGGTTCTTTGAAAATCATTTTTTTGTTACATTCATTTCAGCCACACATTTTTCAATTTATTTATTTATTGTCAAATTTTTCTCTACTTTTTAACCATACATTCTCCAAAAAAATCATTTTTCACGAAAAATCCACTTCTCAAAAATCAACTTCACACAAGGGCTTAGTTTACGCATTAATCTTGCGGTACATATCCTTTTATTATACGAATAACATGTAAAGGGGTGGGGTTTGACGTATGATATTCATTTCAATTGACTTGTTGCTTAAAATGGCTGTTAGGGTCAAGCTTTAAGAATTTGGTTGCACGAACTATAATTTTTAATTATATCTCTCTGTTGAACAACTTCCTGTATGCAGCATTTTGGATTATTTATCAAAACTAGAAATAACAAAATTTTGGAATTGAATCATGACACTAGAAAACATTTAGGTTGTGTTTGATTCCACAACTTTTCCATGGAAAATGAAACTTGTTTTGGGCTGTTTGATAGCATTAATTTTCTTAGGAAAATCTTTTCTTGGTTGGTCTCCCATGCGCCGCTTTTCCAGGATTTGAAGGAATTGGTTTTCATGCCTATTTGGTGAGAATTTGTTTTCCATTTGTTTTTTTTTTTTTTTGGCAATTGAAAAAATTACTTTCAACAATGGTAAAAAGAAATTTTCTTTTAATCGACAATTTCCCTGCAAAACAAAGTCAAACGAATGGTATTCGGTATGATAATTTTTTAAAATTTATTATTATTATTTTTGACAATTGGAACAAATTCTAAACCCACTGATAGAGAAAATTATAGTGTTAATGAATAATTTCCATAAAAAAAAAAAGTCAAACGAATATTAAACTTTCAACATCTTCCAGGTATAAAATTATATCAATCAAACATAATTAATTACAATTCCCAGTAAAACAATTTCTAGGCAATTCAATTCCCTAAAATTCATTTTCTTTCCATCCATTTTTCATATTTGCAATCAAACGAACACTTAAATTTCATGTGTAGTACATCCATCATCATTGTCAAGTCTATAATTTTGAATTGCAAGCCAGCATGTCATAATATCAGGTTAAGAATCCATTAAAATTCTAATTTGTATTCCTAATATAAATTCAGATTTGGATAAATAGGCATATCCTCCAAAGAGACCACATAGGAATGGTTAATAAAAGTATTTGGTAGGAATTTTTGGGGGAAGAATTGATTTTTGAATAGTGATATATGATAGGAAATTTGTGGTTGAAAAAGAAGAAAAAAGTATTGATGTGATGGAAAATATTATTTTATTGAAGAATGTGTGATTGAAAATGAGTGAAGAATTGATTTTTGAATAGTGATATGATAGGAAATGTGTGGTTGAAAAAGAAGAAAAAAGTATTGATGTGATGGAAAATATTATTTTATTGAAGAATGTGTGGTTGAAAATGAGAATTGATTTACTGTAGAAAACGAAAATCTGTACCAAACAGGCCCATAATAATGGAAGACAAATCATGGAGCCTGTCATTGAAAATTTTATCAACTCCAGAGTCAGGATCCAAAACTTTCCTGGGGAAGGGGGCAGAGTGTTTGCTTGCCGATGTGGCGTTCTCCCCCTGTATGTATGCATGAACTCATGCTGGTTTGGAAGCACGGAATTTGTAGTTTATCTAATTAAAATTTCAATTCTTCCTTGAATTTGCTCTGGTGAATTTCACTTAATTTCAAGATTTGATAGCATTTTGATACAATCCTTAAACAAACGTTTTCATTTTCTCAGCTTGCTTTGAAATTCTTCCCAAGGCTGTTTCCATCAGGTGGGGAAAATAGATGAAAGTATAATCTCTATTGTAAAAACCTTGATCAATCGTGGAGCATCACTTGTTACGGAATTTGGCAGGTATTAGCTTTTTTTAAGCAAAATACAAACGCACCTTTAGTGGTTTTCAGGCTCCACCAAGAAAGGTTGATGGAAGTTGCCACGTATTACTTTGTTTGTTATTAGATTTGATTTCTTTATAAGCAGGGACGGATTCAGGATCGGATTACAAGTTGGGCTAATACGTAAAAAAAATAACTTGAGGTGGGACATAACTAGGAATCCACAACTTTTCTGAGTTTGAGAAGAGCTAGTTGAAATGATCTTGTGTATAGAATTTGATTGGAAGAGGGAATGCTAAATTCTAATGCATCACAATTCCATTGGACAATAAATCAACATATCCACTGCCACCTCGCAGTGATGATAATCTTTGACTTCTAATGAACAGCATTTTAAATCGTTGAACCCAATCTCATATCATGCCCACTATCCACTGATTCAGATGCATGAATTGATGGAAAAAAGAAACGTTAAAAATAGTTTTCCTCGATAAGTGAAACGATTCTCCGACTAGGATATATCTTCATATTTCCTTTTCATGTTAACGAAACAGGGTAGAAGGAACGCATGGTGCATGAAAAGGGAGGATATGAAGGATGTTGTATTGGTAACTTAGCGTCAACTCTTGCTTGTTATAATCCAGTTTCACTTATCTGAACTATAAAGCTTTATCCTATTAAAGACATACTTAGGCACCCTAGTTTCGATGGGACGAGTATTGCCTAACCTTTTATGATTTAAATTCCGGATAGTTTGTAAAGAACTCGTCTAATTACATGCCTGAATTTCACTCTTAAAAGCCAAGTTGTTTTAAATTTTAACACAGCAGATAAGAATGAGAGCAGCACAAAAAATGAGGTAGCTGAAGATGTTCAACATGAGGTAGACATGACCTGAATCCAAACGAACGGCCAGTTCCTCATTAAGACATAGTAAGTCCACAAAATTGGTACTTCCTGCGCCCAGTCGTGATGAATGGACATGTGGCTGGTATCAATGCAATTTGTGTTCACCCGAGTTACGTTGAATTGAAATTTGTGTCAACAATGTAGAGAAACATTAAACATATCTAGCATATTAGAGGCTCTTGAAAATGACACCTGACGTAGTTTAGATGTTATTTTGAGTCTTAACTCCAACATTCTCTGTACATTTTTGTGAGTCTTGAACTAGTAACTACATGTATGTCGCTACGTCGCTAAGACCACAGGTACAAAATTTCCAAAGTTACTTACTCTTAAAGGCCTTGTGAATTAAAATTTATTTGCCTCCAGTCTCTACTAAGTTCGTTCTTATCTTGAGGTCCTTGTTGTCTGAAGGCTGTTGCTTTCCGGAAAATTCTTTGTCCCGGGGCTAGGATTGACAGAGGATCATACATAGATTTCCGCGAAGAAAAGACTTCCCAACGGGTGCCAAAGTGTGCTTTCCACTCTTCCTGAGTGCCATAATTGGCCAAATATTGTTTTACCCCAAGGACCGACCTTTCACAAAAGCGTAGAATTCTTTTGTTTCGTGTTAAAATATGTTCTAACCCATCTTTTCCTGTAGACGATGATATTGCAGAAGATAGAAATGCCACTAGGTAGAAAATATCCTCGTCCGGTGTAACCATGGACGTTTTATTTCTCCAGCTGTGATGCAACAACCGAGTTGAAACAAAATTAGGTAACATGTAGGAAAACAAATATTCTGTTCGGTGAGAAAGTTTAAGTGGTACCTCGATTTGTTGACTGGGTAAATGAGTACAGGACCATTGCTAGTATCTGCAAGAATATTGCCAAAGACTTCTTGAGCAAACTTGTGAATCCCGCTTCTTGGGATAAGAAGATTTAACCAGGGGTGTGGAACTTCCCATAACCCTTTCTCCCGAAGTTTTATTTCAGAGATGTGCACTCTATCCAGGAAATCTACATAGGGGACTTCTGACAGGAGGAGTGTGCACTTAATGTAATTCAGTTCTGATAAGAGGGTGTCAATATTCTGTAAATGAGAAACATAGGTGAAAAAATGAGCACCCCAAGTGTTGTTATAATGATCCAAAGGGAGATAGTTAGATGTCCCACCTGATTAACAAGATCAGAGTTGCCTGGATTGAAGTATTTGGCAACTTCAAGACAGTAAAGAATTCTTCCTTCTGAATTAAATTTGCTGGCTTGAAGAGGGTATTTGGCATTGAATGAGGATCTCCATTTGTTTAATAATCCTGTTCGATTTATTAAGACAAACCCCTCTATATAATCGAAAGAAGTGTCTGAAGATATTAGATGCTCTTGGTCCTTGGAAAATATAGCAAAGTCTGAATACAGAACTCTGATCCATTTGACCTGTGAGAGGACATAAATTGTGTTATCATTTGATTTTCTTTGCAGTAACTCCAATCCTGTTTATAAGCTTACAAAAAAAATGACCATTTTGGGTGCAGTTTCTAGAGCAATTCTAGCCCGGGTTATTATCCCGAATTGTCCCAGTCCTCCGAGTACACCGTAGAATAGGTCAGTATTCTGCTCTTCTGAACATGTTACTACATCTCCCTTGCCTGCAGATAAGAAAACTAGAAGGTTAACGTATCTGCTCTTTTGATTTTTATGTTCTGATGGGCATGTTTGCTATGTATTATTCGACAAGACTCAAAGTGAATCCTCTTCTTTGAATGCAGTTAGATTGGGTTATATCAAGGAAGCACTTCATAAATTCAGTGTAGATGAAAACTGAAAACTGATGAAAATCTTGTCCAAAACAAGAAATGTGATTGAACAGACCTTCAATGTAGAGAAAAACAATATTTACCTTTTAACTATATGATCACCTAGGAATTCTTGATTTATGTAATACTTCAAATTTGTGGGATTTTTTTTTTTTTTTTGGGCATGAGTTGATAACCAACCTGTGACAACCTGTAGTTCGTAAACGTTATTGATCTGGGGTCCATGTCGGAAAGCTTGCCCGCTGATTCCCGCATTTGATAAAGTCCCTCCAACAGTGAGATGAAGATAATCTGTCCATGTTTTTGGCGCTAGACCGCGTTTAAGGCTCTCATGCAAAATATTTATCCAAAGTTCACCAGCATAAACATCAACGTAGGGCAGTTCCCCAGTGTGAAAACTCATTTCTGGTTCACGAAGTGATTCCATTTTGATAACCACTCCTCGATAGGCCTGTGCCTGGCCTGCCAAGGAGTGGCCACTTCCTCGGGCAGCAACCGTTAGCTCGGAAGAGGTTCCCATCTCAAAAATATATTTTATGGTTGAGGAAATATCGGAAACTGATTTTGGGTGTAAAACTGCTGATGGCATGAAATGGTATATATTCCCAAAATCCTTTGCTGCATGTTCATTCCTTTCAAAGGTCAAGTGCCCCTTAAGGTCCATATCTGCAAATGATGAACGTAAGATTGGGATAGGAAGGTTCTTTCTTCTGATTGTAAAACTAACTAAGAACACCATTAGAAATCTAAGGACCATGCTAAATTGTTTGTGTAAGCGATGAAATCGCGAGTTCTTCATGCAGTCAAGGCTTGAAACGGGGGGAGATTATATAGGTTATTTTTTAATATATTCTTCTCTCAGTGCGAAAGTCGAACAAAGGGCTGAAAAATATAGCCTCAGGAAAATGAGTGATGGGGAAGAGAATTTAAAGGGAAGGATGGTATTATTTGGAATGTCGACAGGAGTTCATAGTGAAAGTGCGTTTGATGGTTTATTGTTTTTTTATAGTGTGTACAGGATTTTCTTAGCTCATCCTTTTTGTTTAGGTCCAAGAAAGGGTTGATTTCACAGCACTCAGCTATATATGACTTCATTCCTGGCTGAAGATGATCCTATATGTTGTGTGCATACACTATTTTCTGATACTATTATTGAATTCTAATTTTCTGGTTGGGGGTCCCCACCGAATTGCTAATTATGTGTGGTTGTTAAACAACTCTGTCGAAAAGTCTTAAAGTTGTTATAATGAAGAGTGAATTCGTTCTTAACTTCGAGATGAACCTTCATTTATAATTTGAACTCACGATTTATAAACGAGTGACAGTGAAATTTGAACTCAGTCAAAGAGTTGGCTTCCAATTGAAGCCCCTTAAGAAGCTGGGCTGCCTGATTTCTTGCGAGCAATGAAGCGAGATTGAATCCTTACTTCTTTAGCGTTGAACGAGTTCCGGGCTAAGGATGAACCTCGTACTTTAGGTGGAAGCTTGTTGGGGAAGTTGAGCTTGGACCCTAGGAGTTTGAAGGCAAGAAAATGGTTTCATTTGTGCACCATGGGGAAGCTTGAAGATCGGAAAAGCAAAGAGAGATGGTAGCGTAGGAGATAGGGCCTGATTGAGTACTTTGCAATCACCGAACTGCTTAGCGACCTGCACAAGTTGTGTAACGACTGCTCTTCCGAAGATTAGAAATCCAATAAAATTTTTACTCTTGTTAATTTAGTTTTAGATCTTTTTCTTCAAATGTCTAGAGATCATTGATTTCGATCACACAACAGTTTTTGAAATTCTACTGAATTTTATGTCGAGATAGGGACAAATCTCCTTTTCAAGTCGGATTGATAAAAAACATATATTTTACATTGGCTTGCACGAGCTAGTGTCAGATTCCATATAAGGCAGGTTCCTCTTTTTGCTTTCCACTAAATGTAATTTCAAAAGTAACCTAATCTGCCAATTTTTTGTTCTTTCCTTGCTTTGTTACTTATCAAGAAACTGCAGAGGAACCAAATCAGTTTCTTCTTCAATAATTTAGATTCAAGCAAAGACCATCTTTGATCATTATCTATCTTGTACAGTTACATCCAACTACTAAGAGAAGAAGTAGCCAGGTTGATGAGTGATCGATTTCGACAACCCAAAATCAGATGTTCTTTGGATGCTTCGGCTTTGTTTAGTCCTTTGTTTGAGTCTTACCGTCGTTTTTCTTGTTGGGTTCTTTACTATCGCTGGAGCCCGACTCTAGTAATTACCAATACGATGTATAGCGGTTATAAGTTGTATATTTGTAAACTTAAGATTAATGACAAAAGTCAAGTTTTTGTAAAGTTAGTGCCTACTTATTTTCTTCCTGTAGCCACTTAAAATTGAAATTGCAAGAATATTGTTGACCAAGTATCTGTCCTTCTATTTGCTGTTGAGATTTGATGTTGTTTTCAAGACGGTGAGGGGATTCTTGTACATCCAAAAGATATGATTTCCTATCTTGCCAAATTCCCATTGTACTTAGCTATGTCAACGAGTCGAGTCGAAACTCAAAACTCGAGTTCGGTTCGAACAAAATAGTTCCAAATTTTTTTGGGCCCGAACCAAGCCGAGCAAAAGCTCGATAAAAAAAATGAGCTTGGCCCGAGCTTTCGACTCCAGCCTTAGTAGGTCGGCTCGTGTATTTTTTTAAATCTGTTATAAATATATAAATTTTTTAAATGTATTTAAAATTTGTGCAATTAATAGTATTATAAATAATAACTAAATATTTATATATAAAAATGGGAAAAATTCATAAGTAAGAGGATAAATATCTCATATTTCAAAATTAAGAAAACAAGTTTGGAATTTTAAAAATCAGATTTTTATTAAA